CCAGCGCAAATCTTCCCTCATTTTTTTCTGCCAGTACAAGACGCAATAACCAGAGCGACCCAGAAAAGTCTTTCTTAACAATCTATAAAGGCTTACCCTCTTTTTAGCTCCGGATCTTGACTTTCTGGAAACAGAACCTGTGACTACTGCTTTACAACAATGCGATAATGTAAAATATATTTTAAACATGGTTTCACTTACGATATACCTGCCACGTGTACATAACTTTTCATTATTTTTATTTGTTACTTTCAATGTGCTAGAGGACGCATGCCTTGCTGGATCGAGAAAAAAGTGAAGAACCACCTCTTCCTCAACGGTGCGCAGTGGCACCGCGCGGCGAGGGCGGTGACAGGCTGTAATCTCTCTGTTTCTCCTTTTTTTTGGTGGTTTTCCCCAAGAAAGCACATGCATCTTCTTTTTCAGACTGCCGGTATAGGGACTAATCTGGAGTGTGCGGGTAGACTCTAGCCTCCTTGATGACCACTGAAGAAGGCTCACCCTTATTATAACCTGGAAATCAGATTTAATAGAAAAAAAAAAGACAAGCCAAAAGCTGTTGGACCAACTGGTGAGGAGATTGAAGTCTCCATCATCAAACAGAAACATGCGGACTGTATCACTGTGTGCTGCCAGCACAAAAGCTAAAAGGAGAAACAGATTGAGAAGAGATTGCTGTGTGGGATGGGGATGTGGGGAGTTGGACTTCCTTATCACCCCCACTAACCTAATGTAACACTTTAAGTGTGTACTAAAAGTCATTAAAAAGACTACCAAAAAATATAAGGAAAAATAAATTTAGTTGCCTTTTCTAGGAATTGGCAGATTTCCTGACTCTCAAAACTGACTGGGTAGCAAAGAAAATACTAGACACTAAAGACTAAAACTATCTGGTCTCATTTGTAAGCCGTTTAAATTTGTCATGAACTTTTGTTTTCAATAAGCAATCCATCTTGGAAGACTGACACAAAAAGATATTTATGACAGTCTCTCCCAGTACTTTGTGCTGCCCCTGCTTACCTGTTAACTGAGGGTACAGGCAGTTACCAGTATCTTACCTATTTATATTGGCTTGGGATCCTAACACAGGCTTCTCACTCACTGATCCACACAGTTGTAGTGCCCTTCCAACTGCTCCACTGCTGGGTCTGCTGCCTACATTTTTTTGTTTGTTTGTTTATACTTCACATCTGTTAGAAAGAAACATATTGTACCTTGCTGTTCTATTTTGGAAAATATTTCTTTTATACATTCCAATCATATATGTCACTTAGTTTATAAAGTGAATGTTCCAACATGAATACCTTTCTCCCCAGTCCAGTTGGGGATAGTATACACGTTAACATCAACAGGTAATAACCCATTCTTTTTGTCCCATAAATATCTTGCCTGTTTTTCTCCTTAATGTCTTTCCTCAGGCTCTCTTCTCCCACTCTCCCTTCCCACTCTGTATCTGGTATCTATAATCATTTTATATGTTTTAATATCTTCTAGTCTTTCAGTTTCAGCTACAGAATGTGGACAGTTGGTATATACTTTTTTTGTTTTTATAATTTTATTATAGAAGAAATTCTGATTCTACAGTGTTTTACTTTTTGATTGGCATTGCTTTTCTTTCCTTTTTTATTTTTTATATTTACATTTTTAATATATTCAATAACATTATTTAGCTTACAAGGTGATCATTTCAGTATATGAACATTTCTCCCCAGTCGATTTGATCAAAATATAACAACAAAACCTCCCTCTCTCAATAATGCTGTCTTCGTATCCCTCCTCCAAATGTTCTTCCCCAGGTCCTACTCCTCCACACACACCACATCTGGCATTCACATCCACCTCTTGTGTTCATACATCTTTTAGCGCATCAGTTTCAGTAATAGAGTGCAGACATTCGGTATATATTAATTGGGGACATACAGTGTCTCTCCTTCATAGCCTGGCTTGCTTCACTCAGCAGTAAATCTTCCATGTTCTTCCACTTTCAGTCAAAAGCCAGGGTCTTGTTGTTCTTAATGGCTGAATAGTATTCTGTAGAGTTTATGTGCCACGGTTTTTCAATCCACCCAGCCATACCAGGGCATTTGGGATGGTTCCATGTCTTAGCAATCGTGAAAAGTGCTGCAATAAACATTGATGTGTAAGCACTCTTCCAATGAAAAATTGTTCTGTCCTTTGGGTAGATGCCAAGAAATGGGATTGCTAGATCATATGGCAGTTCTATTTGTAGATTTTTGAGGAATCTCCAAATTGTTCTCCACAGTAGTTAGACGAATTTACATTCCCACCAGCTGTGTAAGAGAGTTCCTCTTTCACGCCTCCCACCCCCTCAACACTTATCATTCTTTGTTTTTTTAATCTTAGTCATTCTGACAGGGGTTAGGTGGTATGTCATTGTTGTTTTGATTTGCATTTCCTTTACAATGAGGTATGTTGGCATTTTTTCACATGCCTTCTGGCTATTCGTATGTCATCTTTAGTGAGTATTCTTTTCAACTCCTTCTTCCATCTTTTAATAGGGTTCATCATCTTTTTTTCCAATCAGCTTCTTTAGTTCCTTATATATTCTGGTTATCAATTCCTTATCTGATACATAGTTAACAAAAAATATTTTCCCATTCTGAGGGCTGTGGATTCACACTAATTACTGTGTCTTTTGCCATGCAGAAACTTCTTAGTCTGATGCAATCCCTCTTGTCTATTTTGGGGATTATCAACTATGCTTTAGGGGTCTTATGTAAGAATTTCCCTACCCCAATGTCTCCCAGAGTTTCCCTAGTGTTTTCTAGAAGCAGTTTAATAGTTTGGGGCCTTAGATTTAGATCCTTGATCTGCCTTGACTTGATTATTGTCAAAGGTGAAAAGTAAAGGTTCAGACTCATCTATCTACTGGTGGAAATCCAGTTTTTCCAGCACCATTTGCTGAAGAGGTTTTCCTTTTTGCACTGGATTGACTGGTACCCCTTGTCAAAAATCAGTTGACTGAATGATTGGGAATTTATTCCTGAGATCTCAATTGCGTTCCATTGGTATATTTTTGGGTCGGGGAGTGAGATGCCGCCCACTCCACTCTTTTTTTGTAGAATAGCTTTGGCAATGTGGGCCTTTTATTATTCCAGATGAATTTTATGGTTGTCTTTTCTAAATCTGTGAAGAATGTGTCCGGTGTCCTGGCCTGCAGGACACTCATACAGGTTCCCTGGGGGGAGAGAGTGAGAGATGGGACAAGCACACGCACACACAATACAAGGTGCTGATCAAGTCTTCTTCTTGCATTTATTGAGGAGAAATGGTGAGTTATATACAGCTGGTGGGTACCAATTGCTTACCCAAAATGCAAATGAGATAGAACAACATGAACCAATTATTGATGTGGGTGGATCTCTCCTGTTGCCTAGAAACCCAACCACTTCCGGGGAGCACGGTTGGTCACATGATTTCTGAGAAATGGTTTGCTCAGTAAGGAAGTGAAGCCTAACGGTTTCCAAGATGGTGGTTAGCTCAAGATGGCAGATAACTCAAGATGTCTTCCGTATGCAGTGCCCTCCACCTGTCCCCCTTTTTATTTTTTCAAAGAGAGGAGAAAAACCAGGGGGAATCGTGCCTGTCTTAGGTTGGAGTCATTTTTACAGCCACATGCCCATCATTATTCATCATTGGAGAATTCCATAGCTATGATGGGTTTCTTATCTTAGGTGGAAGGTCTGTACAGCTATTAGGCTCAGACTCTCTTGCCTGTCTTTGGCTAACCAATTCAGTGCCTCAGGCAGGAGCAATGTCTAGGCTCCGTGATACTCCATCTCCAGGTTGTGGTCGTGGACTGGGTTAGGCTGCATTTTTATGGAGTCATCAATTTGGCATTTAAGGAAAGCCATGAGCTTATTAAAGAGAATAGGCCTCAAAGAACAAACAATCAGTAAACCAAGTATAGGGAGAAAAAGGGGAGGAGTCCATTCCATGCAGATCACAAGGCATTGTCATGAAAGATGCCAGACTTGGTGTAAAAGCAGCAGCGTTCCTGTAAAGCAAGACAGAGACCCCCCCTGTTCTGCCATGAGGATCGGCGCCAGGATCAAAACCAGCAGCGGTAGTGTTGAAGAAGCAAAACAGGATCAGGTATTTAAGAAGGATCTTCATTTTGTTGATCTGTGGAAGGAGAGAGAGATTTCTCAGGGCTTTCATCATCCCTGGATGGCTTGTTAGAATCAATCTGTCTGATTAATCTTTCTGGTAAACAACGAGCAGCATTCATTTTTTGAGAATAGATGCAGACAGACCCTCTGCCCCAAATGAGGACAGGGTCTGGACCATGCCATGTATTGTCCAGAGGATCTTTCCATGAAACTGAGGCAAATTTTGTTTTGGTAGTTGAATGCCAGAAGCGCTCAGCAGCTGAGTCTCCATCTTTATCAAGAGAGAGGAAATTTAGGACAAAAAGAGTATGTGCCAGAAGGTTTTTTGGTGAGCTCTTTGTCTGTAAAAGTTCTCCCTTTTTAAGGAAAGATGTGCACAAAAACTTATCTAGAGGAAAATGGTTATCAATAGTTCCAGTAAAGGAAGCACATGCAATAGGTGAGAAATCTGTTTGTTGGAAAAGACAATTAACTAGGTCCTTAGTATACTGCTGGATGATTGTATCAGGATCTTTGCCATATGTTCAGGCCAACCGCAATTGAAGCAATTGCCTCCATTATTACAGTTAAGAAATTGGTGAACAGTATATCCTTTAAGAGCAGCGGCCAGAGCCAATCCCTGTTGGTATGCTGACCTAATATCAGAACATAGGTGAATATGTAATCCCCTCCAGAGAGTGTAGCATGGGCCAATGTTTGCCAGTTTATTGGTGTAAGCCAATTTTCTACCACCAAGTCAACTATGGCTAAAGTATATGGAGCTGTAGTTCCATATTGAGCAACTGCTGTTTTAATTCCTTTTATAATATTAAAATCAAAGGCACATAGGTGGCACCAAAGGCCATAGGTGTTTGTCCTTGTGGATCTGTGGTTTCTGTTTCTGGAAAGGCTTCCTGCCCCTCAAATCAATGATTGTAGTATTTGAACTGGTTTAAGTTTTGCACCATGAATAAAAGTGGGCTGGTGGTGATTCCATGAGGAATCTGCACTTTTAGATTTACCTACTTTTAGCTTTTCTAATTGTGATATTAATTCTTGATGTTCTTTTCCTAACTGAACTTGTTCTTTAAGTTGTTCTATCTTGTCTGAACTTCTGCCTTAGGATCAATAATGAGCATCTCCAAAAATGGCACAGATGCGACCAGGTTGTATGATGGCAG